TCTCAAGAAGTCACAAGCAAACAGCGATACCGAAAGACCAAGGATCAGCGACCATAAAACCTGTACCCAACGGCAAGCCAACGCATCATGAGCCTCACCAACAACAACGCAGCGACGTCATCGGGCCGTTCGAGGTAAGCCTTGGTTGCAGTAGCGGCACGTGGCCTGTACATGAGATGGGGCTCAAGTTGCACACCAGCGACACCAACTGCTTGCACAACAAGTCGCCATCCACGAGAGAGAACATCTCGGGAGTTACTGCTGTAGACCGAACCAGGTCGGCGCAACGTGACGAAGTACCATTGTTCGTGTGACAAGTGCAGTGTATCGGTACATGGCGCGCCTCGAGGTATGTATGTTGAAGGTCCGAGGAAGCATGCCGGTACAGCAGTACCAACAAAAACAGCTGTTATAGTCGGAGTCGACTCGAGCAGTGTGCGCTGGGAAGCCTCTGCGCTGATTACGTTGCGGTGAAGCTTTCAGTCACTGCCACACNGCTGTTATAGTCGGAGTCGACTCGAGCAGTGTGCGCTGGGCCGATCGAGCGGGAAGCCTCTGCGCTGATTACGTTGCGGTGAAGCTTTCCGTCGCTGCCACACCGTCCCGACTCGACACCGCAATCATATCAAAACCCCGTGCGAACGTTGTCCTCAGGAAGGAAACTTTTCAATAAGAAACGCGTGCATGCACATCAGGAGAGAGCGGGTCTGTAGCTTGCTGACAAGTTGGTCAATGCAAGACGACTGAACAAAACCAAAGTGTCTGTGCCGCGGCGCGTGTGCTCTATCTACTGCTGTATGTAGTCTACATAGTGGATTGTTGACCCGACGATCTGCATGGACAAGCCTTTTGTCGTTGAAGATAGTCATTCTCCTTGGTGTTCAACGCATATACAAGCCAAGAGAGCGGGTTGTTCGTGTTGCTGAACCTCCTAGTAGCGCTATGACAGACAGAGATAGGTAAGCTGGTAAACGCACTGCTTCGGCTCTTCCAGCTAGTGTGCATCTTGGTTGCCCTCTTGATCTCGACCAAGCTCGCAGGCGCCACGCAGCTTTTGCAGCCTTGTTTTCGCGCTGTCCGCTTGCCCATGGTATGAGTCCACGCGTTGCGCGACATTCTGCACTTTGCTTTTTGAACTCGAAATGCCGCTCTCTCTCTCTGCAACGCATCCAGCACCAAGGGGGGCATTGAAGGGAAGTAGCATGTCCTCTTCATGAACAGCCACANAACTCTACGCATTGCGCGACATTCTGCACTTTGCTTTTTGAACTCGAAGTGCCGCTCTCTCTCTCTGCAACGCATCCAGCACCAAGGGGGGCATTGAAGGGAAGTAGCATGTCCTCTTCATGAATAGCCACATGAGATACTCGACGCTCCGTGTACACACGAAGTCCGAACCCCCACTGCCCTTCACGGCCGCAAACAGCTCTGCTCACCATATGCTCTGCTCGTGCGCATGACGAATCACCAGGCCCACCATCGACGATGTCTTCAGTTCGATCGAACGAGAGATGCTCGCCCCCTGGGGGTTCGCCTCCCGGTTCCCCACGGCGAGGGACATGGTTCCGAGCGTCTCCAGCAGCCTCTTTCGAGACGGAAGCAGGTCCCTCGACATGAACCTGGATTTCCACGAGACTAAGGACGGGTTCGAGCTGATTGCCGACCTTCCCGGGATGAAGCAAGAGGACGTCTCCATTGATGTTGACCAGGAATCCGGCGTGCTGACGGTGTCGGGCGAGCGTAAGAGCAAGAGGGAGAAGCTCGACGGCAAGAACGGCGATAGGAGGTGAGTGACCCGGACGCCCGGTTCTTGGACTCCCGTTCACGTATGTAACGTCCGTTGTGGTCCAATCGTCTCAAGGCTTGTCCGGATGCCCTGGCTATCTAGGTGTTCATCGGCGTTTGATGCAATTTTGTTGAGGCTTTGCCAAGTTGGTGGTGTGATGGCCTGGAAGACACGTACGCTCGTGGTCACGAACAGCACAGAACGAAATTTCGGGGCAGTCATGGGCTGCCTCGAGCTTCTTTCC